GGGGAAGTCATGGGCTTGATTTCATGTAGCCCATGTGATTGTCAGTAGATAACTGACCCAGGGATCTCATACAGAAACCAGGGTATTTGCTTCAACAGCATGGCTGAGCAGCTTGTTCCATACTCCCACAACACGTAGTGTAAAGAAGCTCCTGTTCTCAGTTCGCACTTCCAGCTCATACATTATATATAACATGATCATCTTCAAATTCAGTGATTGTACCAAGACAAGGAAACAAAGGAAAACAAATCAGATTATAGGATTAAAATAAAATTTGAAGACTAATTTTCTGATGATGGTATTTCTTGCAGGGGGAAAAACAGAAGATATGACTGAGAGGGGATGTTTAAAACCTCAAGGCTGTGGAGAATCTGTGTCGGTCAACTATGGAACTGTAAGAACGACCGTCAGCTCGACATGCTGCAGCACTGATCTCTGCAAAACTGTAGCTCCCCCAGGTAACGCCGGCAGACGCGATCTGTGCGCAGACACACAGAGAGAGGGGCAGAGGCCACGTGTGAGTGAGTGTGGTTGTGTGATCGTGAACACCCTTGACTCCACCTGGGTGAATCTGAGTGACTGTGCTTGAGGAACTGAGTCTTCATGCTGTGACAATAATAGGAAACTGCAGTCAGATCTCTATACGATGTGTAAAGGCAGCCAGCCTGTGCACAGAACTTCAGGCCTGTGAATTCATACAGAAGAATGAGCTAATTCTCTGGAGCTGCCCTTGTGCTCATTTTGAAACTGATTCCAATGCTGTTCAAATATGAAACAAAGTCATACAGAGGAGGCAGAAATAAATTCCACATTGTGCACAAAATATATTTTACACCAATTTGATTAGTTAGACAAATTATAGGCATCTAGATTTACCACTACAGTTTGCATCCTAACACACAAGACTCAGGGTGAGAACTGACATTTCTGCAGTGCTCTGACTGCCAGCCCAGTGAACCACACAGGCTAATCTCCCAGAATCCACTCTACTTTCTGGGCTTTCGGACTCAACCTGCACTGCAAGAGGAGCTGCTGACAGACTGAGCTGCATCTCTAGTCACAGGTGTCAATAGCTCCTCTCCCCTGGTCTGATCTGTCTCTTGTACTTGTAATGGGGTTTGTCTCGATGTGTGTCATTGTAGCCTATGGAGACAGCACCCCCAATGGGCTGGAGTGTTTCACCTGTGAAGGACAGGATTGCACCAAGACTCTACAGTGTGTGGGGGCTGAAGACCGCTGCATAAAAACCACTGGTGAGCTCATGTTCTGTATCTCATAAAGGTGGAATAACCTGTTAAAGAGAGAAAACAACATGCAGCACCCTCCATCACGGAATAGATACACAGTACTCACAGGGCGTAGATGATTTTAGAGCAGAGGCCAGCCCTTTGCAACAATTTCCTTTGGGTAGAGAGAGCTTTCCCTGGTATCAAACACATCTTCAGAAAACTGGCTTCGTTAAAACAGAAATGTTAATAAAATCCTAATGCCTATCTATGCCCTAAAACTAGCAACCCAACAACATCCTTGTGGTACAGTGGATTGCTGTCTGCTGACCCTGCTAGCGTTCCCAGCAGTTTCCTCCAGGCTGAGACGTGCTGGGAGGGTACCTGTCTGCCCTGAACTCACGGACTTGTCACTGAGGTGCAGACCTGGCTCAGTCAAGCCAAGACGCTCCTGAGCAGATAAAGGCTCTGAAGGGGAGTTTCAGACGGGTCAGGGTGCGATGTCTTGTGCGCTTTCAGTGCTGTTTCTTGAAGGAATCTCTCTGCTTTGGTTTCAGTAAAGTTTAGGTTCTACAAGTTTGTCATGAAGGGATGTGTCAGCAAGAACGCCTGTGTTGCACAGGGCAGTGAGCAGCTGCCCAAGTACCTCGGTGAGGGGTTCAGCTGCTGTCAGGGGAACCTGTGCAACAGCGCCAAGCGTGTCGCGCAGAACATCTTCCTCCTCCTGCTGCCTCTCGCCTCCGTCAGGTTCCTCTTCTGAGCTCCGACACGCCAACGTGCCTCCTGACAGGACTCTCCCCACCTGCCGCACACTGGAGGAGCGGCCTGTCCCCTGGG